GTACCTACTTCGTATAAACATTTGTAAAAGCAATCGAGAGCCAGATTGACATCGTTAAAATGTTCCCAGAACGTCCAGTCAAGGCTAAATAGTGTATTATATAGACTTGGAAAATTAGCACGTCGAAAATCATATCTTTGTTTTTTTGATATTGGAAAACGAGAAGCTAAATTGGGAACTGAGGTGAATTCTAAGTTTAAGAGAAGCGGAGGATGATGTTTATCTTCACGGACCAGTCCAGGGGTAACACTTTCAATTAAAACATTAATGTCAAAGTTGACAAAAACAAGATCTAATTAGTTTTCCATTACTGTTAAATACATTATTCATTTGTTTAAGTTCAGTAGAAAGGCAGAATTGTTTGAAAGATGAAGACTTGGAGCAACTGATAGTTCTAGTAGAAAATGAATGACTAAATTCTGGTACATTAAAATCACCGAGCAACATGATCTTTTTATTCAGTGTTAGAATCTCTAGAGCATCAAGGTCGGTAGAGTTAATATTTGGAGGAATGTATATTACCGCAAGACGAAAATCAACTGTATTTATATTAACATCACATGGCTATATCAATTAGAGGTAATAAATCTGTAAGACCCTCAGTGTCAACTATTTTGAATTGGCAAGAATCAGAAAAAGCAATTAGAACTCCACCTCCTGTGATTTTGTCAACTAGGGAAAATTTTCTGTCGCAACGGACAATACTATAATTTGCAGGAAATAATTCGGAATTGAAAAGAGAGTCATTTAGCCAAGTTTCGGTCAATGCAATAATATCAAATGAATTGTCACAGCAACTGGTATAGAAATCATGCGTTTTGGAATTTAGTCCACGAACATTTTGATAGAATATAGTGAAACTATTTGTTAACTTGCTGGACTTACTTAGTTTAAAGAGGGAACAATCGTGGGAATACCACTGCGATACATGATTTTTAAATCTTTATCACCACGATTAATACGCCATTTAAGTTCGTCTTTCACTGATTTGAACATTTTCATTTGCATTGGGGTACGATCTCGAGACATGTTGACTTGAGCAAATTGGTCTACAGATTTTACTTTTTTGAAGTTTTTTATGGCGGTGAGGACGTCATTAGTGGAATTGAGTCGGATACGAATAGCTCTGCACTGCAAGTCATTTGAAGGATCAAATTTACGAATACGCACCAATATTGGGACGCATAATACGGGACTTTAAAGGGAACGCTTCATCTGCGGCTGGTGTATATGGCATCTGAATTTCTGTTCCTGGCAAACAGGAGGATGAAGGGACATTTAATCCGTTTGCATCAAAAGCGCGTTCAAATAGTGATTCGCGAAATATACCTCCATCACTTTGAGCCCCATATGCACCCACGTCTATGAAGGTAAACCTATATGAGGCATCTGCACACGCTAATAAAACATACCAACGTTTTTCTTTAATTATTAAAACATGAATCATTTTAACCATACAGACCTAAATGAAACAATCAGGACTCTTATCGAACGGTATCCCGATGACGAATTTATCAAATTCAAAGTACAGAGAATAATAAACTTATTTGAAGATAGGTACGGGAAGTGTACAAGACCTAAAACGAGTGAAAAAAACAAGATGTTAAATATACCTAACAAAATTATTTCCATTTAAATTAGAATTAATTCCTGAACCTGAACCAATTTTGCACCTTCGAAAAGGTTGTAGCCGAGCAACTGAAAATTAGGATTTTCTTAAAATTCATAAAATAACGCTTGGCAAAGAGGTATCAAATTCACCCAAGGGTGTCCAAAATGCGAGGATAGCAGTTTTTTGTTTCATAGCTACCTATCCTTTAATACTTTTTGGAATTATTTGCGCAATAATTTATCATTTTTTGTCTAACCAGACGTATCTCGGAGATGAATTTTACAGTATTTATTTTTCATGTTTAATCAAGTGATGCAAAACTTACTTAATTCAAAATTAAATTAAGGCATGGAAAATTTACTTTTTAAAGATAATGATTATTCTCACCGGTTCATATTAATCCCACCTATCAAAATACCTACATTTCAAATTTCATAACAATCCGTTCAAAAATACCTGAGTTATTGTGCCCGAAAGTGTTACGTTAAGTGTTACACCCGGTATAGTTTGTCATGCGAATGTCCGCTTGAATAAATTATTTATTATAGTATTACGGGTATATTCAAAACTATAAATAATTAAATGTATGTATTATGTTAATTAATATTGTGAATAACTGTTAAACAATGTAAAGACTAAAAAAACATTGTTTTAGTTGCTTTGAAATTTTGAAGATTTCACATTTGTATCAACCTATTTGAACCTATTTCAACATTTTTATGACCTAATTTGAAGTTTTTTAAAGCCTATTTTAGGCGCCTTTTTCGTCATTTTTTGTGACCTAAAATCCAGGCCCTAGTGATAAAGTATCCCAAATAGCTGTACAGCACTCTTTAGCAATGTGATGCACCGTGGTCAAGCCCAAATTAAACATCCAAGCTGTTGTTTGCATGGATGATCCTTGTGACAAGTAGCTGTAAATTAAATGATGTTTTAGTAAAGTAAAATAAGATAATAACTAGAGGCCGGATTTATTTATATCAATATGCTGGCAAAATATGAAAAAAAAAACTATTAGACAAAATATTTTTATATTTAGAAAAGAAGTATATCCAAAGGTATTTATTAGGGATGTACCGACTAGTGGCCGACCTTCGGATAAACCGACTATTCGGCCGTTTTTCATCGGTCGGCTTATTTTATTAAAATAAAAATAGTATATAAAACAATTAAACCCGGTTTACAGAACCTCAATTAAATATTTAATTGCGATTTAATTTTTAACTCCGCGTTAAAGTACCATGTAACCGACTATACGCCAATCAGACGTCGCTAATGGCCTTGTTAAATGCGCGATCAACTTAATCTCAATTAAAATATTGTATAAACTGGCCCTAAATTCTGTTATTTTTTATTTTTGTACTGAGTTACTAAAAAAAATTAAAAATGTTTTAAAATTATCCAAACAAATTTAACACATTTTTTGGCGAACAAAGGAACTTTAGTTATTCCTTTTATTAAAATAAAACAAATTGTTAAGGTAGTCAGAGGAATAAAAAAAAACACACTGTTTGTCGCATTTATAAACCGGTTTTAGCAAAGCCGAACAGTCGGCCGACTAGTCGGTTTTTACTGGCCGAACAATCGGCTAGTCGGTTAGTCGGCCAGACCTACAGTCGGTACATCTCTAGTATTTATTTAATACTTGCCTAATTTTCAAGCGGTTAAAACTTTAATAACTTCAGTTAGCATCGAAAATCCACCATTTTCTGCCAAAGCATTCCTCACTTTATTACACGTTTCTTTTAGCCAAAGATTTTTTAAAAATTTTTATTTTCTATATAAAAAGAAATTACTATTCCAGATACCAATACTTTTAAGTTTGCAGATAATTTAACAAAATGCAAGGACCTAATTATTTGAGATCGTAATACCTCCTAATCTGTTTTTACCTGAAAGTGTGCATTATTGAAACTTGTCTGCCAAACGAGCAGCCTTTACTAAGAAGACAGAATTTTAAATTTTACGATCCTTTTATCTTGTTCCTCTTTGAAAAACGGAAGTATTAATGGTGAAACAACGGTTTTTACCGGTCATCTACCAAATTTCCCAAAATATCGTTTGAAATGATGGCAGTGTTTATAAAAAATAATTTTCGAATGTTGCTTCAAATATTAATCAGTGTGGTTAGTGGTACGCAAATAAGCAACGGAAATCAGAACAAGTTGTATAAATGACTTAAAAGTGCACAAAATAAATATGCATTTATCTTGAAATTTATAATCAAAATAAAAATTATGTTATGATATTTAGAATGCCATGAATCTGAAAAATAATTGAACCACCAGTTGGAAGAAGGCAATAAAGGCCATTTTTTACTTATCCGATTTTTTACGAGTACACTTTTGCATTTTTAAAACGTTTGGTAGCATGACATAAATATTAGGTATATGCGTCTTGGGCCTGCTTTATTCTTTTTTCCGAACTCAGTATATAATTTCAAGATGAAAAAGTGTAAAAAAATAGATCGTCAAAAAATGGTATTCATTCCCTTCTTCCAGTTGGTACTTCAATTTAAAAAATATTTAAAACAACTTTTCAGAAAAATATGCAAAAGCATATATGCAAATCCGGCCTCTACGTTAATAATAATTAGTACTTACTGCAAAGTTACTGCAAGTCTTTCGCCTGGAGACACTGCATCTGGTAAAATACGTTTTTTTTATTCAATATTCAGAATATTTTGAATGTATCAGGAGTCATTCATGTATATTTAAAAAATTGCTGCGGGTCTTTCTCGTACATCGGAATGAAAGTACTTCTGTAAAAACCATTCTTGAATCGATTGCGATTAATTTCACCCACTTTAAATCTTCTTTTTCGACGTCGTTGTTTTTGACTTATATAAGTGTACGCACACAATACAAACAAACCAGCACTTGCTACAAGTATGTCAGTGTCCATTTTTATGTACCTTTTTTATTAAAGTTAAACAGAGTCACAATTATTATTATTTGCAGTTTCTGCTCTGTCACTTGGTTACGTCACTTGCTATACATAATAATAACCAGCTAATGCAATTTGATTCGATTTTCGTCGCATTTATTCGGATTCTTTCGGCAGCAAAGCCACCCGTACTGGTCGAACATAAGAACCGCAAGAACTTGCATGCATGCATGCATGTTAGCAAAACCTGATGTTGAACTTTCTTCCGTTGCGTCATCCGGGCCCGTTTGCATATACGGACAAACTATAAATCCGGCTTAAGGCGATACGATAATAATTAATAGAAAACGTTCAAGAGTCACCCTTGATCCTGAATCAGGTAATTAAATTTATTTTCCTATGCATTAGGAGTTACTTCAAAGTAGTGTAAAATAATAAATGGATGTATATAGTTTCAGAATACTTTCTTATGTTTGAGCCCATTATACAAAAAAGACGAATCTCAAGAAACATGAAGTTTTATTATAAATATCGAAGACAGAAAATCAAACAAAAGCTGACAATTTTAGAAAGGTAAATAGATTTAACTGTTTCTAAATTAAACAACATTTTCTTCCAAGATATAACGCTGTCCAATCAAATGAATATCCAATCCGTCATCAACTCATCACCACCGTCACATTGCTTCTCTTACAGTTAAATGTACGCTGCAGCAATTGGCATATGTTTAAATTTATGTGTATGTGCAATGTGCTCACATTGCGTTTTACACTTCTCAATCAGCGTTTTAAGTTCGTCTACTTTATTCATTTCGAAATTCGCAACTATGTCTCTGCACGCTTTGCAAAAATCATACGCCATTTTATATTTTTTAACCAATTTCTTTTTTTCCATGTTGTAGATAACCCCTCCACAGTATTCAATCAAGTAGCGCTTCAGGCGGCCAAAATCTTTGAACTTTTCGTCATACTCTTGGTTGACCTCAGCATCTTTTATGGAATTTATAATTTCTCTTTCGCTTCGAGCGCCTCTAGTAAAATTGATACTGAGTTCTTTCTTCTCTTTACCTTCTTCCTTTGCCGTTGCTGTAAGAATGCCGTTATGATCAATGCTCAACGTGGCAATTATTTTCAGTGCGCCAGGCGGTGCTGGGGTCAAGTCTTTTATGGTAAAGTTTCCTATTAGGCGATTTAATCTGGCGTCTGAACGTTCGCCTTCGTATATTTGAAACGGCATCGAGCGTTGGTTTTCTATTATAGTTCTAAAAACCTTACTAGCGCTAGCTGGTATTTTCGTGTTTCTCATAATCAGAAAATTCATTTCGTTGGCAACGTTGCTGAAGCCTAGGGACAAAGGCACGACGTCGACCATTTTGATTACGTCGATTTCTTGGCTTTGGTGTTTCGACATCATGGCAGCTTGAAGAGCAGCCCCATCTGCTACGCATTCGTCGGGATTCACGAATTTACTTAATTTTTTCCCGTCGAAGTATTCGGAGACTAAATTCTGGACTTTGGGAATCCGGGACGAACCACCGCACAGAATCACCTCTTCAATTGACTCCTTCGAAATGTTTGAACGACCGAGGCATTCATCAAGGATGAGCATAGTCCTTTTAAACAAATTATCTGCGAGTTCTTCAAACTCTTTTTGTGTTATTATTATCTTGATTTTCGGGTGTTGTGGTACCATTCCGTTGATGACAATTACTGTTTCTTTTGTCGTTGACAGTTGTTTTTTAGCCTCTTCGCATTTATTGCGCAACGTCCTCTTATCCTCAGGACTGTCGACAATAAAATTGTACTTTCCTCTTAATTCTCGATGGACGTGTGCTTGTAAACACTTGTCCAAGTCGTGACCCCCCAGCTGACTATCTCCGGATACGCAAATACTGCGAATGTTACTTCCGTGTCTTTCAAGAACGGCAATGTCAAAAGTGCCCCCTCCCAAATCGTAAACTAGACACCTTCGCTTTTGGTTCATATCGTTTTCAAAATAGTAAGCCAAAGCAGCAGCTGTGGGTTCATTCAAGAGTTTTAGAACGTTGAATCCTGCCTCTTTGGCGGCAGCTAAAGTAACCTCTCTTTGCAGAATGTTAAAATATGCGGGAACAGTTATGACTGCTTTTTTCACGGCGTGATCTAATTTCTCTTCAGCATACCTTTTTAGTTCTTTCAAAATAGCCGTGTACACTTCTTGTGGCGTTTTGGTGACAATTTTGCCATTTTGCTTCAGCGTGACCACAGGAAGATTTGACTCGTCTGGTTTTACGTTGTAAGACAAATATTTTATGCTTTCTTGAAGTCTCGGGTCGTTGTATGTTCTTCCAACCAGTCGTTTTACTTCTGCAATTTAAGAAATACGTCTTTTGTTTTAGGTATAGAAGAATTTTACCGTAAATTCCATTTTCTGTTCGGTTGCTCGCCACTTTCGGTGCGTGTTTACCAAAGATTACTCCACCTTCTGGCTGAAAAAATATAAAAGTTGGTGTAGTTCTTTCTCCTTCGGGGTTCTCTAAAATTTTCAGTTTCCCTTTCCTGTACAAAGAAATGCAGGAGTTGGTCGTGCCTAAATCTATTCCAATTACGAGATCATCCATTGTTAACTGCAATTAATTTATTTATTACAACTTTTGGAGACATAATTTGACGATATTTGAACACGTTTTTGTCTTCGTGAATAAAATTAATCTATTCTAAATTTATCAGTGGTTTATTCTTCTAGTATAAATAAAAACATTACTTACCTTAAAAACGTACAAAAATTACATATGAAATGGATTTATTGGAGGGAAAACTTAAACTTTGCTATATATTTAGTCAAAAAAGATACATAAATAACTTAAAATTGTGTAAGACTCACTATACTCTACAGTATATTTTACCTATCTGAAAGTAAGCCTCCGTGGTGTGATATTGTTGATAGCTGTAATAATAAAGATAAAATGTAAATTCATATTTATTACTTGTAGATGCTTCAAATTACAATAGGTAAACTGATAACTTTGTTATTTAAAAAAAAATGCTTTTTGTCATCTACACTTCTATACTTATATTATAAAGCTGAAGTGTTTGTTTAGTTGAACGCGATAATCTCAGAAACTACTAGTTCGAATTCAAAAAATCTTTTTGTGTTGGATAGTTCATTTATCGTATCTACATATAGGCTATATAACATCACGCTACGATCAATAGGAGCAAAGTAGCAATGAAAAATTCGGAAAAACGGGAAAATTATTCTTCCTTTGACAGCTTCCGTTACTTACGCTGCTTAAACGGTTAAAGTTACGTAAAAATCATGTATGACGAAATTGTTCCCCTCTAAAAGTACTAAAGAAAAGTCCGGGACAGCATATGTCTATCTTTTAAGGTAGACTCAGTATAATCTTTTTTATGGTAATGAAATTTGTTCTAAAATAATAATGTATTATGTATAAAATTCTCGCGTCACAGTGTTTGTAGCCGAACTCCTCCGAAATGGGTTGACCGATTTGTATGAAATTTTTTATGTATATTTGGTAGGTCTGAGAATAGGTTGTAAACTACTTTTTATACCCCTAAGTGATAAGGGTGGCCCACCCTAAAAAATTTTTGTTTATTTTTTGACAAAATTTTTTATTTTTATTTTTTTAAGATTTCGCATCAAAAAATACACATATCTCTAAATTTTCACCATTCTAACACTAACCCCCATTTTTTAATCTTCTATATAATAAAAATCAATTGCTGTTCCTGTTAGTCTCGCTAAAACTCAAAAACGGCTTGACCCATTAGAAGAATTTTTTATATTACGGGGATGGTTTATAAATAAAAAAAAAATAGGAAAACTTTAAAGAACAGCTAAAAATCAAAAAATTCTAAAAATTTTGTATGGGAATCTCCACTTCGAATTAATTTCAATAGTTGGCGTTCCTGACGGACCGGTCGCCTAACTGACGTGTCATACAAAACTATTTCTTCCGTGCAATTGTGAAAAGTATATTGCATTTTAAATCGTTCTTTGTTTTTTCGTAAAAAAAACGTCGTTTATTTTAAGAAAAATCTTGGTTAAAGTGAATTTAGTTACACATTGCGAAAGTTTCTTTTTAATTTTAATCTGCCATTCTATTTACCTATATTCACTTTGTTTGTTTCGACAAAACCTCAAACTTTACCGTTATTCGAGGATTTAATTTGAAGTTTTCAATATTTTAAAATTCTCAAGACAAAATTTACAGATTTGATTGACTGTGAAAATAATTCTGTGTCGTTTTATGAAGTTCATTACAATGCCGGGAAGACGACAAGCTGACATAGGTCCACGACGTCAATCAAATGTGCGACGAACTACCTCAGGTGCAAACCGCAATGATTTATTTCATGGGTAATTCGGATATGGAAGTTGATCAGCGTTGTGCTCATAATCAACATAATCAAACATTGAAGCGAGCCATTGGCTGGTATGAATAAAACCGAGTACATACTCATATTCGAAGTATGAAGTACCTACTTCATATACCTGAGCATCTACTCCATGTGCCTAGTACCTACTTGGAAACATTTTTTCTCCCCGGACACAAATTGAACATCTACGCGTTTTGTGAGCATTTAATCTAAAAATGAGCATCACCGTCGCAAATGACTGAGCTGTCTGTAAAGCAGCTTAGAAAACGAGTAGGATCGTTGTAAGAGTGAATTCTGACTAAACATGGCGACTTTCATGAACGTGGAACCTCGTCAAAAGGTGCATTCAGTTTGAAAAACACATTAGGAGCGGGAATATCGAAAACTTTTCAGGTAATTAACTTTTATTTATGCATAAATTGTGCAGTGCGTTTTTTCTAACACTGGCCATAGAGATTCCCATCTCAAGGTGTCTACCCCATGCTAACTTATATTTTGGTGACTCGATTTTTGCCTTGATGGTTGAACACTGTCACTGTTTTCCTTTTTTGTTGTATCGAGATGCTACTTGAGCATCAACTGTTACCTACTGAAGTATCAGCATCATCTAGAAAAACTAGAAATATTTTGATTTGATATTCGAGTAGATACTGTCACGACTGAGGTGTTCTAAGGGGTTGGTAGAGCGGGGTAAAAAAGCCCAGTTCGTGAGTGTACGTTATTTTCTATTAATAATAATTCAAATACAATAAAACTACTTACTGTTTTGTTGGGAGAAACATGTCACAGGTTCTTTTTCTTTTTCTTGCCACAACCCAACTGCCGTCCACCCGCTCTCGTCAACCCCACGAAGCCCTTGCAGTGTCAGCAACTATCCCTACTGTCGATATGTGTCTACACTCCATGGCCTCGATGGAATCATTTCGCGAGCAGGGTGTTTGGCAATCCCATCGTAACTAGGTTACATATTTATGTGACTGTGACATATCTCCCCCCCTAGAGAACACTGGACCCCAGTGTTCCTTTTGTACAATCTAATCTTAAATACTAATAACAACAATATAAATATTCTATGGGTAACAATAATTAAAGCAACCAAATCACAATGATGACAGCTTCCCTGGCCGACTTCTGACACATGGGAGTGAGTGACCCCTCGACCCTGAACACCCGTTCCCCTACGAGCTTATCTGAATTGTAGGTCCAATCGCACAGTCGTGGTGGTAATGCAGCGTGTTGAATATCAGCAGAATGAGCGAACGTACAGAAAATTCTAGTTTTCAGAATCGCGTTGCCAACGTGGACAACCCTTCCAGTGTTTTTTCTGAGGCCGATACAGACATCATCGTCGGAGAAGAGGACGCCAGTACACACAATGTTTGAGGCATATCCTCCAACGGCTTTTAAGTCCAGAGATGAGGTTATCCAGAAGATCACACTGCTGAGAGACAATGAAGAGGCAATTGGACTTCTTAGTGCTTCGGTTCTGGAAGTTCCGGCACCATGAGACAGCTCGAGAGTACTGAGGTGCAGAGATCTCTGGGGATTACAGCCATCGACTGGTGTTCCCGCCTCCCTTTTGTGCTCGGTTGGATGTAGGGGCCAGGGAGCAACCATTAATCATGAAACAATATGAACCAAAATTATTACTGACTACCTACTAATGATTATCCTAACCCTGATAATTCTTACAATTTTAACTTCTTAACTTAATTATTATATTATCTAAGAAAGTACATTTATTTATTTATTATTATTAATTAATTTTTTTTTTCCATACATATACGAGTATATATTTCAATTGATCTCTTCACTTGAGATCGTAATTCTGATTTTCTCTATTAAGAGTCGAGTTAGAGAGATTTTGTAAAGTATTGTTAGACGTGTTGTTGGATTTGGGGTTGTTAAGTTTAGAAGGCGGATAGTTAGTGACCAATTATAGTTCATGGACAGGTTATTGTAAGTATGTGGGTAGAGAATGGGTGTGAAGCGAATTAAAGACAAAGGATTTTAGCGTCCACCAGGCTGCAGGGATTATATGATATGGTTAACGTACGATATTGGGGCATCTTATCTGAGCACGGGAACCCAACTTGTATGATTACTTCTCGCTCATAGTCAAGTGAACATTTAGAGGGAAGTTTGGGTTTCAGTGCTCCGAATAGATTATGGGACGAATGATCCTACCTTTTATTTTTGTTATGATGAATAAGTCTTCCTCAGTTCAGTGAGAATAACTCGGAGGCATGACATTTCTTTGGGCAGTGGTGACTAAGTTCCTCAATCAGTCGTTCCTTAGTAAAATTGGTCCGTGCAGCTTATCTTCCTCAAATCTGGGTAGAAAGTACAATTTGTCACTATGTGGCTGTATTGGTAAAGTCCTAGTTTTTCAGTTTGCTGCCAAAAATAGAGTGCCATACTCGATTCAGCAACTTTGCTAAAAAGAACAATAATAAGTGCGGGTAATGTATTATTAGGATCGGGCCTCATAATTGAAAGTTCACACGATTAGTGTCCCAAAAACTCCAGCTGATACTTTGTCTTGTGCCTTCGTGTATGGGATAAGGGCAAACAGACACAGATGCACATACCTACGGAAACGAATATTAATATCTTTAATTCTTTTTTTTTTTTCTCCTAGAATCCCCTACTTTATTCCTTTTAGTCGCCTTTTACGACACGCAGGTAATACGGTTGAGGGATTCTTGTATACCCCCGTCAACGGGGTATATGTTTTTTCGAGCGTTCTTACTTTTCGTCGGATGCGCCGTTTCCCGTCCATGGATCATTATACGGTAATATCCTCCCCACGTGTACGACTTCTTTTTTAGATCGTTTATCCAATTTTTGCACCTCATAATCAACGTCGCTTAATTTTTTTGTAATATAATATGGGGCAAACCACCGCAATAATAATTTTTCACTTTTCCCGACTTTTCGAACAGGAGTAAATATTTTAACTTTGTCTCCTACCCGAAATTCTACGTGACGATGCTTTTCGTCATACCGCTTTTTATCGATGTTTTGTTTTAATCGAATATTATCCACCGCCATGTTCCTAACCGCTAACGCTTTTTCCCTAATATTTATTATATCTAGATTTTCAATATTCTTTCTTAGACTAGTTTCGGACGGAAGTACAGGTTCGCGACCGTAAACTAACATGAAAGGTGATAATTTAGTCGTATCTTGACGAGAGGTGTTATATGCGAAGGTCACGTGTGGAAGAAACTCGTCCCAATCGGTTTGGTTAGTGTTTGTATACATCGCTAACATGTCAGCCAATGTCTTATTAAATCTCTCTGTCAGTCCATTACAGCTAGGGTGATATGCCGTGGTAAATTGACGATTTGTACCCATTATTCTCAACAATTCGCCTATAAGCTCTGATCGAAAATTTGTCCCGCGGTCACTCAAAATGTCTCGAGGAGCCCCGTGTCTCGTTATTATATTCTCTAGCATAAACTTTGCTACTGAGCCCGCTTT